TTTTTTTTACTTTGTTTATGTTCCACTTGAAAAAATTCAATAGAAAAGACATAAACATCATTTCCAAAGAAAAAAAGATTGAAGATGTCTAACATTAAACTGCCAATTCATGTAAAGCAGAAAAAAGTTATCTTACTACTAATTATACAACAATCCTTCTTATACACAAGTTGAGTAATAAATAATCATATGTAGTTGATTGCAATTCAAAAACTACTAACCTTTATATGTAACCCACCAAAAGGGTCAAAACTTGTATAGCTTGCTCCAACAACAGCAATGAACAAGAAAAAACTGGCCCAAAAAAAAAAGTCGAACGGGTCTCGAGGGTTGAATCGTTTTCTGCGAGTTGGCTGACAATTTGAAAATAGCCTGCGGTTAAAAACTGGATAAAATAAATCTATAAACAAAACCGATGTTTGCAATTGATATTGACATATGGATTTTTGCTACTTTGTACAATATGGAGCACATCACTCATATAGAACGGGGCATGCCCCAATATTGTATTAAACGGACCCCAATATGGGTACTTGCATGGACACCCTTATGTACAAGTAGCAAAACTTATCTCATCCAAAGAACAAATCAAAACAAAATAATTTTCGGAACAAGTTTGATCGACAAGCTTAAAACATTTTAAAGCCCATAGCATCTTTAAAAGAAGCAAAGCCGAGCACAGCCAGTTGAACCATGAGGACAAATATGTAAAAAGCTACCTTGTAAAGGGTGCTAAATGCATAATGAACCCATGTCTGGTGGGCCTCCATCGGACAGAATGGTATTTGTAGCAGCTGAGCTAACTTTCCGAGCTTGCTTTCGGTCTTTTCGACTCTTCCCATAGTCAACTGTTTGGTTACTATCAATGTAAAACCATTCAAGTCAATTAATAGAAATATACAGATACCAAGAATGAGTTAGTCGATTAGTGTTTCAGACATACATTTTAGTACAAAAAATAAATAAATAAATAAAATGGCATCTGTATAACAAAGTCCTCGGTCTTCCATTTATAGATATTTCAGAAGAATTTTGAAATTTCAGTTTTTCAATCAAATGCAGAAAACAAATGAATGGATATTCTACCCACAGAATTAGAAGTTCCTAATGCAGCAGTAAATCTAGTTTCACCAGTCGAATAGAGTTCCAACCAATTTTCTGCAGTAAATCTAGTTTTACCACATAATTACAAATTAAACAGTTCACTAACAGAAAAGAGGATCGAATGCGAATTCATACACTGGAAATCTGGCAGAAGATTTTCCAGCAACTGCACCACAGCAAGACTTATACTTCTTTTTCGAGCCACACGGGCAGGCCTTGTTTCTTGAAATTTTCTGTTTTGAAGATAGATTTAAGTTAACCAATCAGCAAAATAAAGTGATAGGGTGAAAAAAAAAACCTTCCCAATTTGATTTTAGATTCTTGCATGCAGGTGATGAAACCTTTTCATCTTTTTGCAGGCTGTTCCTTTGGCAACTTATTTCCACACCGTTGCCAGATGAATCCAGCTTGCATGTCTCATCCACAGGATGCTCGGACTTCTCACACTGAGGTTCATCTGGAAAACCATACAGATTAAAAAGTATGACGCTAAGTAAATGTATTGCTAAAAAATATAAAGAAAAAGCCAAAAAGGTTTCATAAGGACAGTAGGTAGAACATGCCATGATAAGACAATAGACACTGAAACATCAGCGTGCTTAATAAGACGAAAGCATAGCTAGATTCTGGATGATAATTTTAGTCTAGAAGTGAAATATGCTAATTTATACACACTGTTAATACTATCAGTCGACTCAAATGAGAACAAGAAACCAATACATAATAAGATACTGCTGTAGGATAACATACCAGTATCCATATTTCTTCAATGACTAATTTATTTCAATAAAACCACCAAATTTTTAATGATAGTTTCATATTTCACACGGCCTTTTCCACTAAAATAACAGAGGCATAGCCAATATGCACGAACTTCATTTTCATCAATTGAAACAGAAAGCAAATACACGTTCACATAACTGTATCAAAGGAAAAGAAATTATATATCATCCCATCATACCCATCAACATACCCAGTATATTCCCAACAGGTTGGGGTCTGGGGGGTCAGTTGTACGCAGACCTTACCCTTGTAATTATACAAGGAGGCTGGTTTCCATAGCGACCCAAGGTGCGTTGCGTCGTTTGATATATTTTTTTTCTAGAAACTTCACTAATAGAAGAAGCACTAGAATTTAATTGAGCCATTTTGATCTAGTCCATTATTAGCACTATACCAGGAGAATTGTCAACAATGACTCTTCCAGCTCCATATGCAATGGACCAAGAAATTATATATCAGACGAGGAAAAACTACTAACCAGCAACCGTCCCATCCAGAAGTCTTTGTTCAGTCAACAGAATTTCTACAGCGGCATCAACGTCACCGCCCATTTGCTGTAAAGCCTAAAATGGCAATAGCATAGATAAGAACAGAACTTTAATACACCTGTTTGACAAATAATAACCTTTTTGAAGAAAAGTTAGCTGGCTGTTAGGCAAACACCAGAACTTTATTATAGCACTTAGCGGTAAATTTTGTCTACAAGTGCAACAGATGCGCTATTGCACAACTTGTGCAGATCAAAAACTATACCATTTCAGCGCTTAACTTCTCTATGTTTTTTTTTTTTTTTTTTTTTTTTTTTTTTTTTTGTTAGATTGTGTGATTGTGAGTGTGTGTGTGTGTGTGTGTGTTTGTGTGAGTTGATCTGTTTGTTTATATATTTTAACGAATTGTAATGGTATTTTATCTCAACTACCTTAATTGAGATTATATTAACTATAATAATAAATATAAGTTTGATTAAATAGAAATAACAATATTTTATAAATTACGTTTCTTCTGGAATATTGTTGTGAACAATATTTCATTTTGTTTTAGTTTCACGAATAATTAACATCAAATTACGAATCACACTTTGGTCATTTCACTAGAAAATATGTACAACAAATCATATATTTAATTTGATTACTAGCTACGGACTAATAAAAGAACAGATCAAAATGGATAAAAAAAGAATCACATTAGAATATACTTTAGCGCAAAATCTAATGCACATTGATGGACACGGAGGGCAATTTTCTGTGCAAAGTAGTACAATATCCAGGCTATAAGGTGGCAAAAAGTACTGGAGATGGCCTTAATCAGGCATATTTTATTTAAATATTCCAGCTTTCACGTTTAGGCTGGAGAAAAATTCATGGCTGATGAGGAGCAGTCACCTGTTCGACTTTTGCTGCATCTTCACATCCACTTCCCGCCTTTACAACAGCCCTTCTGCCTTCATCTTTAGACTTCCTGGCAGTTGCTTTTGGTTGGTTGGTATTTGCTGAAACAGCAGCATCGCCCTTTTTCACAAAACCAGACGCTTATCAAATTATAGTTAAAGTATGTAAATCAAAAGTGAGAAAAAGAGAGAAACCTTAATGACAATTTCCCGAGCTGGACCAGCGCAACTGTCGTCCTTCGAGCGCACGCTATTGTAATGCTCGCCATCATGATAAGAGCTGCAACAATTAAATGGCCAAAACCAGTGATTACCACATATATCCATGAAAAGTAGAACACGTACAATTTTATAATTGTGGGCATGGAGAGACAGCAAATATATAATAGTTAAGTAAAGGCACCATGGAAATATCATTAGCTTGACTCCAATTTTAGAAAGGTTGCGCCGGAATTTTAAACAACTACCAAATGGAATCAGATAGTTTGGCACAAATGTGGCACCATTTAGTGCAAAAGCTGCGATAAAATGGCCTTAGGGAACAATCTAAGTTGAAGTTGGAAAGCAAGTTTGATGCATTCCCTAATAAGCATGCACTAAACAGAAAGTTGACAATATAAATACTTTTAGGTCAAATAACTTTAGTACTTCACTGCACGTAAGCTATTAAAGTACTTTAAGCATTATATACTAATGCAGGTGAAAATACAAAGCAAATTCAAGCAACAGACATGGAAAAACTGAGTTAGTTGTAACCAAGCACGACTGAAAAAACTATAAATTAATTTGAATAACTTAGAGGGTGTTTGTTTACAAGTTTTTTCAATTTATATTCAATCCATACTCAAAATTTAACTCAACTTTAACTCAATATCACTATCCTCAATATTATCAGTATAATTAAATAATATCAATCATTCTTACACATCACATCAACTTTAATTAACTATTCACGTACTCGTATAATTTTAACTAACAAGATGGGCTACAGAGCACTTACAGATGAATCATTCGAGCTTCAAGTTTGTCGAAATTCCGTATGTACCAGCGCGGCGACATGTTCTGCGCAAATAAGTAACACTACATTAAAATAATCAATGAAGGACATAAAAGCACAAAAAAAAAAAAGAATCTTAATTATAACAATAATACTAATACTAATAATAATATTATTATTAACAACATACATTGGAAATATTTGCATCCGTTATCAAATAACGAGAACACGTCATAATGGTTTGGGAAGGAAAAGAAAAACAAATTACCCTGTGAATGCATATGTTACTATGAGTGACAAGAGAAGCTGCTTGCAATTCCACGTGTCCTGCCCAAGTGCCATCCTCGCCCATGGATCGACAGTATTCCTCAAATGGAACTTCGTCCTCAACAAAGGGTTCAAACTGTTCCCGGTTATTCTGCCGTATCATGCAACTCATCAATAAATACCATCCAAAAGGTGCTCAAAACCCTTTAAGATGTTCACATTATTGCAACCAAATTAACTTCAAGTTTCCAAATTTGATCACATTTAACTTAATGCGGCGTTAAAAGCAGCGGAAACTAAATTCCCGCAGTTTTTGCCGAGTTCACGTTCCGTACATCAAATCCCCAGATGCAAATATAGTATCTCAATCAATTTGAACTAAATCGTTTTTATCAACCAAATTAAGCAAAAAAAAAAA